CGCCTTGCCGTGATTTGGGAAGAGTGTGTTGGACTGCTTCTCATGGACCGACCCCGTGCAAGGAACAGTCCATCCTGAGGGTAAACCTGAAGGACACGCGAACCATGCACGACATGACAAACATAGGTAATAAAACTGTCAAGTCAATTCCATGCCTGCCAAATACTCGGCAACTTCAGGGCAGATGAATCTGCCCCTCTCCTTGTTCTTCAATTTGGTCTGCTTTTTATAGCAATCCCAATAGTATACTTGCGATGCTAAATCCTGGCACGGCCAAAGAATGGTTTATTTTGTGGATGACCCTGATGACCCTGCAAATAAAGAACTTTGCCAACTAGAGATCAACTGGCCTGTTTGTTCCTCTCACTAAGGTGAGTGGTGCACGCAGTAAATGTAGCACTGAAGCAACCTGAGCCAGGTTTGCCGCATTGTGTGAATAAATTTGGTTGAACTTTGCAGTAGTCCTCTACAACCAGAGTTGACCGCTAAAATCAAACAACACTTGCAACCTGGGCCCCAGCGGATGCAACCGAAGGTATCCAGCGTGATGGGTCTCGCAATGATCTTGAGCACCCGGGAGTCTTTCCCGACACATTTCTCCTTCTGACCCTTGTTCTCTGGCACCTTTCAATCAACAAGAAACATTTGTTGAAGTGCACTCCTTGAAACAGACCAAAACCACTGTCTTGCCGTCAAAACACTAGTCTCATGTTGAGTGGACCTACTTCTGGCTTACGTCTGCCGAAAGCGGGATCAAAGCTCTGGATCACCGGCGGCTGATGGGAAGCTGCAGGCTCGACAATCCCATATTTGGGGAGAGATTGATGATCAAGCTGAAACACCTGACAAGGGCAACTGCTATCTAAAATAAGTACACATATCTTCGGCGATACAGGAACAAAAAATCAGTTGGCTACTGGCTAGCCTTGGGAGCTTTCTGTTTGCCAGTCTTTGTGGTCATCTGCGGCTCCACGGAGTCACTTAGTAGAGTGGCTGACTCATGTCAAAAATAAAGAACCAGTGACAAGCGCACTGAATCCTGGTGAAATTTAGTGTCCAGTGTAAGCACAGACTGACTGACAATTGAAGTTGAGTTACTCGGTTAGCATTGACACGCCCGGGAGCAATCGAAACGCCATGGGATGTTGCAAGGCGCCCCACTTCCCTTTTTCGGCTCCGAAAGACTGCTGCAAAGCGACAAACTCGCAAACAAAAGGTGCTCACTTCAAAAACAGTGCGCTTTCAAACGGCGTTTCAAGTTGATCAGCCCCCGCGCGCGTGACAACTGCACAACTTCAACATTCAGCTGCACCACGTTTGTCGTCTGATGTGTATAATATCCCAAAACCTGAATTTTGTGTGGATATTATTTTGTGTGGTATATTATGCACCACAAACAAACCGACTGACGCTGAAAGGTTTGATTCTTATTTGACCTAACGACAATTACATCCTCGCCCTTGAGTGCTCCAAAAGGCATTAGACTATATTAGACTCATTAGACACGCTGAGCACACACACACACACAGCGGCTCCCTGCCATGACAATCACACCCTGACTTGTAAGTGCTCCAAGAGGCATTGGAACATTGACATGCTCAACACACACGACATACAGCGGCACCCTGCCATGACATTTGCACCCTGACTTCCCAGTGCTCCAAGAGGCATTGGGCCTCAAAAGACCACCACACTTTCCAGACCCTGGTTGCAAAACCAGGCCCGGGATCAAAGGAAAAAGACTTGCACGCGATTGGGAAGAATGCGACTGGCCTGGAATAAGTGTTCACCAGGCAGGGACAATGCTTTGCATGATCCTTCCAAGTGCGGCAATACGGAGAGACACCCTTGCTCAAAGGTGGCTCGCGCCCACCTGGTGAGCCACGGTGTGCGCTCTTGCCCAGCCTCGGATAGGGCTCCCGGGTGGGCCTTCTTGGGCCAGCGAATTGGCAAACTTGCTTCGAGACCAGCAGGTGATGAGGGACCTGTATTGGGTATTGGCCAGAAAGTTTTGCACATGAAACTACCATACATGGCCCATACGATGACTAGGTCCAGGGAGTTTTCCATGGGCACTCCGACCAGCGGGGTAAACATGGTTGCTCCTTGCGAGCAGTCAGTAGGACTAACTGGGGGACGTGCCATGGCAAGGAGCTGTAAGCGGTAGTCAGCCAGTTCCTCTGCTAGCACTTCAGCATTGGAGTGACTGGTGATCGGACTCGGGCCACCGCGGCTGCCGATCGAAATGACTAGTCCTGCATTGTACTCAAGGTGCGCCTCTGTCACCAACAAAAGACCGGCTTTTTCGGTGTGCCTCGGATCCTCAGGCGCACGGCCAACAAGGTCACTCCACTGCAACTGGTTGGTGGCCAATGCAACCAAGTCAGGCACCTCGAAAAGCGTGACGGGAACACAATCATTATCGACTAAGCCAAAGTGCTGTTGAGGGTACATAAATCTGGCTACCTCCAGGACAAAAACCCCTGCCCAGTAGTAGGGGACACCCCGAAGTCCATTGGCCAGGTTGGCCGTAATCCACAAAACGTCCGTGTGTTCATGGTGTGGCCCGACCAAACGGCAGCGCGAGAGCCACCACTTTTCAAAAGCAGGCCAGTGTGGAACATCCCCTGGGTCCCTATTGTCCACTATCAGGTAGATCATGTCCTTTCCCCAGATGCGGGTCTGGAATTGAAGGAGGCACTGGATGATGGCAGGGTAGTTGGGTCCTTGACCCGTTTGCTCGGCAGTTGCATACCCCTCATCCCGAAAGCGAACAAACGTCATCTATCCGGACTTGCCCTAGCGAACGGTCCAAACCCACATGTGGCTGGACTGTGTCGGGCGCACGAAGGGATTGGTAGGCATGCGCACGCACCTCATGTTCCGGACTGACAGCCATGGACGAACATGCGAGCCTTAGTCTTTGTAATCCAGCCAGGACTGGCTTGGATGTAAGGTGTAGGAGGCACTACCTGATCTTCGAAACAATCAGCGAGGTCAAAACCTTCCTCACTACTAACCTCCCAGGGATCACGAGGCATGGTGCTCAGCTGCATGCTCTAACGGCCGACTACTGCTAGTAATTGTGACAGGCAAGGCGCGAATGGCAAGCCCCCAATTTGGATTGGGTACCAGCCGTGGCTCGGACACAGTACAGACTGACAGGGACAGTAGACAGCGTGTGCCTTTAGGTGCCCTCCACTTGGGTGGACTGCACGTTTATTGCAATTATATGCACAAACATGCAAGGGCTCCACGAGAGTCAGGCGGACTGTAAGCCAAAGGAGCTGCGGTACACTCACAGTGGGATCCATAATCTTTTTGCGGAAACCATGAACAGGCTCTCCTAGAA